GTGAAGTCAGTGGGGAGGGGGATCCATGACTTGACTTGATATCCATATGCCAGAAGGGCATCATTAAGGAACTTGCAGAACCTTTGACAGAACTGATGGAACACCATATCTGGCTGACCATTTTCCTCCAAGTCTTTCAGGGTTTGGGTTGTGACGACATGTGCACCAAGCTTAATATGATCAACTGAGGTATGCTCACTGACCACATCAACTTCTGGATCTGATTCCCCAGAGACAGATTTCTCAAGCTGATCAATGTAGCAAGAACTTGATGATCTACCCACAAGACCTAACATGCATTTTAAAGTGACTGTGAGTAGGAGTGTCAGCACACACAGTTGTCATACCTGAGCAGGAACATCTCTACTGTTCGAACAGTGTTCATATGTGTGTTGGATTGGCTTATGCATACTTTCGTTGGGCTGAGTGTTATAGTTGCATGTGGCACCCTTTAGGTGGATATCTCGAACAATGTGCTTCCAGAGGTGGACCTTTGGGAAATTCCAGTCAGTTCACAGACTATCAATGTTGGACTTCACAATGCATTTGGTGTAGTCCTGAAAATGACACATTATGACAAATTGGCATGAGCACAAAGCATATAACTACCTTCAGTGTCTGATCAAATGTCAATATTTCGTCATTGATCATGTTAACCATATGTTCAGTCTGGACATCTAAGCTGACAAGGCTATCAAGCTGTAGGTAGCTTCAGATGACTTGGAGGAGCTGGTACCCTTCAGGTGTTATACTCTTCTTCAAAACATTGATCCCCACATAGAAGATTTGCTAGGGAAACAGTTCATTGACAGCCATCTGGTATTGGACACATGTACCTTGGAGATATTGGCCAGCTTGTTACCATCTGAAAAAGTGACATGAATAACTTGGTTGAAGTGTGTGAGGTTTTGCCAGTGAGGAAAACTTGCAACACTGTCATTGTCAAATGTGAGAAGTGACAATGTTCAGAGCAATTGATTGTAAAACAGTGACTCACTACTTCTCGATGTTGGCTTTGATCTGTCACCCGAGCACCTTTCCAATCACCTTTAGGTCCCCAAAGACATGCTTGCCCCAAAAACCATGCCCATAATGCAGTCGATCAAAGCTGCAGGCAAAGTGGAGATCAGAAAACCCAATCAGTCAGAACACATTCTGCATCCCATTATATATTAGTTCACTGATGGTGATTTGTTGGTGGAAACTTACTTCGATTGGTCATAAACCTAACCACTTCAGCAATTCATCACCTTCAGCTCCATTTGTAGCACAAACACATAACACATCGATGCCCTGGGTGTGCATATGAGGTTCAAAAGTCCTAGAGAGGTCATGGAGTAGCTCTGACAGTACAAGACATACAGGGCAAGGGTGTTTGCCACTGTGACCATGAGTGAGTACCATCATGCATCTGTAGTAGGCCATTGAGTTAGTATCATTAGTCTGAGCAAGAAGAAGGAAGTATATTACATCTCTTCAAAATTGGTGGACAGCATCATAAGACTTGGAAAGAGCCAATGGGTAATGTTGTCATGCGAAGATGTATGTATGTACCCAGTCTTCAAGTACTGCTCAATCTCCAGAAGTAACTCTTTAAAAGATTTGTGCCAAATGACACACTTGAGGGTTGTGTAGCCTATCTTTCCCTCTTCTTTGGCATCTTCAGGGACCTGAAATGTTCTTAGCCTATATGAATATCTAAACAGTGGACATCATTCACAATAGGCAGCCAGCCAACAACAGTACCTCTGCCAATGACATTGCTATTCCGAAATCTCAACTGGCAAGTTTGCACAGCACACAATGACAGGGTAACTCTTGGCAGTGCCAAAAGATGATAGGTTGGATTTGTCAGCATAAAGGATCAGGCCAAATGGCATAGTGTTCTTGATATTTGGTAGACTCAACTAGCACAAATACAACATGTTATGTATGGGTAATGAATGACATATTGACCAGGCACATACTTGAATATCCCACCAATAATCTCTGGTCCAGGGCTTGTCGTAAAAATGTTCATACTCAACACTGTTGTGCCTGTAAAGTCACTGTGCATCCCAGGTGAAGTGCAGACCAAGGAATGGATTTTCTAAGATATCGAGTGCCCACTCCCACAGTGGGTGAATATGTGCTTTCGAACATACATTCTTCCTTTTTGTATGGTACCTTAACTTTGACCCTGGAGAACTATTTAGATAGGTAGGATGGATGGCGATGAATGGATATTTGAAAATCATACTGGAGTGAGTTCCATTGCAGCTGCATCACATGCTTTGTGAAGTTCGGCATCATTCTTGAGTGTGACTTGGACAGCTCCCTGTGTGACATGAGCAAAGAGATCCAGCAGGGCATTGACTTGTTGCTGGTTGAGTAGTGAAGCGAGTGTGATTTCCACAAACTCGAAAGTCACCCAACATGCAAAATGGGGACCAAGGTGTTTTGTCAACCAGGGATGGGGACTTCTCACTGTGAACATGGAACTCTTCATAAGACTGATAAATCGGTGGTCGATTGCTTCTTGGATGAAATTGGATCTTGAATTCAGGAAGTTTTCACCACATTAGAACTTGTGGCAGTTGGCATCAACACATCTGAGGGAATTATGAGCACTATGAGAACATGTGCTGAAGTGAATATGTACCTGAGGCTTGGAGCATGTTGCTCATCTCATTGTAATCTTGTCCCATAGTCACCTCGACTGCAGCCACAGTTTGTCTAAGACTAGGACCACAACATAAATGGAAATCAGACTCACCAGGTTCATTGATGAAAAAATATCCTGTATCTGTGCAGTGAGCTTTGGGCACTCGAGGCTGTGATTTAAGTACTGATGCTCTCACAGCTCAATGGTGGGCAGCTGAGTTAATAATTGAAGCCAGAAACCATTACATTGGGTCTGCCTGTGCTACACACCAATTCATGTACCTCATTGTTTCTCTTCATACTGATGTTCGAAAGCTACATGCTCCCTCTCATCTTCTTTGCGCTTCCTGCAACTCACCTTGTGCTGCTTGAAACTGGTTTTCTGAAATTTCCTGTTACAGTGAGGGCATTGATGGAGAATGGCATGATTCTGTTCAGCATTTTGACAGGTTGAAGCTGAACAGGTGGTACAGGAGGGAGCCATGAGAGAAGATGTATCATAGCTGGACTAGTTCATCCTTTGATCCCAGGTTCGGCTGATGTAAGACAATGTCATGCCATATCAGTCATTATCAGATCATTATCACTCAGTAACTTGGGTAACTCCTGTCCAATGAAATTTCTTCCCTTGGCACTGCCCCCAAGCTGTGGACATGTCATTACCAGACCATTTTAATGACCCTAATAAGGAAATATGCAAGCATTGTCAGCCAGCAGCATTATTATGTGCCTTGAAAATTTGCAACATACCTGACTGCAAGCTGTCAGGGAGGAGTCCAAAGGTAGTCACATGACTCCTCAGAGAATGGTCTGTTTGGTCCAGTAGGAGAGCAGTACAAGTCCAACAGCAGTCGGAGCAGAGATGGTTTGTAACCAACAGAAGTTGGGTGGAGTTGGTGCAGAGTGAGTGAATGACCTGGTGGAAGAGGGTGCAGAGTGAGTAAGGACCTAGAGTGAATGCACAGTTATGACAGTGCCCCCCCCTGAAGGCCACATGCACATGGATGGGATCAACATGAGTTGATCATTTGAAACCATCTTGGTGCCTTGAGGATAATGGCTTTAGCTGCAGCAGAGCTTCATCAGAGTTCAAAGTACTGCTTAAAAAACACATGTCAGAATACTGAACCTTTGTCCTTTCCTCCCATCACCATGCCTTCCACTGTCATAACTGTGTGTTCACTCTAGGTCCTTACTCACTCCAGCACCCTCTTCTGCTGGTCATTCACTCACTCCACACCAACTCCACCCAACTTCTGTCAGGTTACAAACCATCTCTGCTCTGACTGCTGTCAGGACTTGTACTGCTCTCCTACTGGACCGAAACAGACCATTCTCTGAGGGGTCATGTGACTACCTTCAGGACTCCTCCCTGACAGCTCATAGTCAGGTACTCCACAGTGCATGCACCACATGGTCCAGTGCCTGGACTGTTTCCTTTTCTGGATATTCTATGTTACCCATTTGTATGTCCTCCATCTACCCTTCATTCATCATCTAGGAAGTTTTGCTTGAAATTTTACAAGTCTCCATGTATGTCAGTGCCAATTCCAATTACTGTACCTCCATAGTAGTATAAAAGCATGTACCATACTCTGCTGTTCTTCAGTACAAATATCAACTTTAGCTTCCTACTCCCTCTGTCTCCATCCTCTGCCTGTTGGAGTTACCTCTGACTGTCTGTCTGTACTCCCCCTCTGAAATATGAAGGGCTGAGATTCATGCAAGGGGGTAAGCACATGAGCTAAACCTGACACCCTCACTTCACTCTGCCCTTACCTTGGTGGACTTCATTCTTGCCAACACTCTGCCAGTCAGGAGTTCTGCTCTTTCTGTTGGACTTGCTTCCAAACCTCTCCCCAGACCTCATCCAGTGTCAGAGTTGGTCAGAGTAGGCCTGGACTTGACAGTACCAGCCTCAATTCTACCTTTGCCTCCTCATGGTTGGAGTAGGATAATTATCATCTGGCTGCTGTGGGGGCCTATGATTCCACTCTGGGTGACAAGTGACACCATCCTCTTCTGCTTGATCCAACAGTCTATCTTCCCTGTCCATTGCACAGCCTCTAGGCCTGGCATTCAAATTCCTACCCACTGGATCAACTCCTGACATAGATAAGCATGTGTAATTGTGTTATGGATGTATACCTATGATCATTAGGTGATATGACTGTCTTATCATTCTGGGCTGCTGTAGAATGCTGTAATGAGAGGATCAACCAAGTGTGCATGGAAACCAACCATTGGATCTGATTCTTGGCTTGGGCTTGGGCTTCCTTGCAGTTGAATCACCACCATCATTGGCATGATTGTCTGATACAATTCTATCAGAAATATTCATTGTTGCTGGATGCCACTTACCAGCTGGCTTGGGGTATGCAGTAGCTGTATTGCACCAGTCTGATGTGGACTGGCTCCATCATCTGTTGTCCTCCTTGTGCATTGGATGTTCCAGTGGGATGATCTTTGGCACACAATTCCAAGGTCATGTTAGGGTTACCAGTAAAGAATCTGACCAGCTCTGACATACCATCTATCCATTGCCATTTGGTGGAAGGTTTTGTGGGAGGAGCTGGTTCCTCCTCCAAGTGATGTCTGTAGTCAGAGCCATCAATGGAATTTACTTAATATGTAGATCAGTTATGTAAATCCAAATTGATCATGACCTCACCTTCTGTCCAGGGTCTCTTCCCTTTGGCTTTGTCTGACTGGCATTGGTGTTTGGTGACTGGCTCCTCCAGGAAACCATCCTGAGATCTCCACCTTTGGAACCAGAAGACATCTTCTGGGTGCTCCTGCTGTCACTCCTTCCAGAACTCCAAGGTTTCAATTAGTTCATGATGTGTCAGCCTGGTGGGCTACTTTGAATGGGATATTGGGAGGAAGATACTTAGAAGACACATAGGATGCCCAGTTGTCAGCTATTGCAGCCCAAGGTACACTGGCATTCATCTTCCCACAAGCCAAGCCTGTGTTTAGATGTTAGTAACTCATTGACCATGGAAATTGGCACATATGATAATGGCCAGTTACAAACACCCTCATGATGTCCTTTAATTCTGGTGTCCATAAGTCCAAGAGATTTGGAAGAATGGGTGTGCCATTGTCATTGGTGGACAGGGAGAATTGAGACTGCTTTTTTCCTTTCTGTGCTTTTACTGTGGTTTGACTGGCCTCATCCTCTCTGCTGCCATCCTCTGTACCATTGGCCCCAAAGGCCTTCTTTGCATAGGCTGACCACTTTCCATGAAGGTCTTCCCAATCCAAATAGAGCTCTCCATTGCCCAGCTTGTCATTGAAGTCATTCCTACACCAGTCAGATATGGTGAAGCCTGTCAGGAAAGCACTCACACTCCAACCATCACTTCACCATCCTTATCCTTGCATGCTGACATGATCACCACTCTCATCCCACACTGCTTCCACATGTCATATGCAAACTGTTTTGCATACTTTTGGCCCTTACTTGTTGCTGCCCTGCATTTAAGTTAGTATTGCCCATGGGAGAACAAGAACTTGGATGCTTACTCTGCCTGGGCTTCAGGTGGCAGCTTTCTCTTGTTCCACTCTTTTGTCAAATGGGATGCCTGGTCCAATTCAGCCTTGGTCAACAACTGGACTACCTTCTGAACAGCTGGCTGATAGTGTTTGATCATAGCCAACATCCCAGGCTGTATTCCAGCCTTCACAAGTACTTGCTGGATATCCTTCTTACACTGCAGCTTGATCACCTTTAGGGCTGTCCATTTGGAGCCATACTTGACCAGGGCCATCTTGTGCCTGGGACTGACTGTTGTTATACATCCAGTTTTTGATGGCCTGTAAAATATACTTAACATGACTGCGAAGCACATCAAAACCATCCAAGCTTACCATCCATTTTCTATTCCATTCATTTTGTTTGAGGCTCTTGTTGGCATCCAGCCACTTGATTTTGTTCCACATGCCCTCCATCAGTGAGGCCCTTTTGTTTGTGTCAGCTTCCTTCCAATCCTTTAGACCATCTTGGAGGATTTGAAGTTCATCTGGTCTCAGCTTTCCCAGCACAGATTTTGCTGTCTCTGTGCTATCCAAGCTAGATTCCTCATTGGAGGAAAAGTCCTCATCTGAGGTATTAACACAATTAGTACTGTGATCGCTGCTGGCCATTCTGAATGTTGGAGAAGGTGTTGGGGTTGGTTAGTTGCAGGGAATGTTACCCTCTGTTGAAAGAAAATTTGTAGTCCATTCCTCATAGTTACCATCACCCATTCTTGAATGAAGTTCCAGGGGCCAAGTAATGTTCTGGTCATGATACATACCCATTGTTAGTATGGTCTTGTTCCAGTCGATTGGTACTGTGGCCAAACATGGTAAGCCAATTCATCTATCATCCAATCTGCTACTATATATAGATAAAGTATAGTTTGATCCCAATTGGATCTTCTGACATTGATTCTGAGATCCAACTCAAATCATAGTCATGCCAGGCATCACAATGAGGCATGTAGGGCTGAGGCCTGCAGACATCCTGCAAGGACTTGATACTAGACATGGGCAAGTCACAAATCACCTGAGCTGCAGTGGCCACCCCAGTAACCCATGTCACTTGGAAAAAGGTGAAAATAACCAGGGGATCCAAAGACAAGATGGTCAAGTTTACTCTGAGAAAGAAGGCAAGATATGCAACTGGCCAAAGCAACAAATCACCTACTAGGGCAGGATCTTTGAGCATCCAGGAACCCAATTTAGTCCAGGGTAATGATGCTGACCTATATTGCTACATGGATGATGCATCACCACCAAGGACATCAAGAATTCCAAAAAGCCAGGTGTGCATTATCAAACATCCCAGTGCTGGCAATGTGTGCCTTATGGTATTACAGAACAGTTATCTGGAAGAGTGGCTGCCCTATAAGAATAGATACCTGTCTGTGTTCCTGGACATGGAGGCCCCACCTGATGTCATGGCTTGTTTTGTGTGTAAAGCAGAAGGGGCACCATACAGATGCATGGACTGTGTGCATCACCCATTGTCTTGTAAAACATGTTGCATTGAGCAACACAAACTCAGACTGTTCCATTGGGTACAAAAATGGAATGGAAGATTCTTTGAAGACTTCACTCTATGGCTGGTGAGTTCCAGTTTCAACCCATCATCTGTGATGACTGATATCATAAGGTTGGTTTGGTGCTACACTTGGGCCATGCCAGAGCACCATGCCCAGCAGGAGAAGGCTCTTGGGATGATGCTGCCAGCCATGTAGATGAAGAATGGGAGGACATCAAAGAGAGTCAATGACCAGCACATCTCAACCCACCAGATGATAGAAACTATCTGACAGTTGTGGACACTGGCAGCATGCACTTTTGCAATGTGCAGTATTGCAACTGCCCTGGGTCTGAGGATTCACATCTTCAGCTTACCATGGCCAGCCTATTCCTGGCTATGACTAAGGCACCAAGGACAGCTTTCACTTTCCAGGTGCTGAACAACTTCATCAGGGACAATGTTGAATGTGGAACCTCTGCCATGAACTATTATAGCAAACTTCAGAGAGTCACCTCAAGTGCATTTCCTCACCTAGTGCTGGTGAGTGCCATCACCCCTGGCCTACCATATGCCACATTGCTCATGCCAGTCAAAGAATAGGTATAGGGAATTGCTCAGGGTGTTGAGAATGTGGAGGCTCCTAAAGCTGTTGAAATGGCAGGGATTCCATCAACAGTCACCTGATCCCTGGGCCAGTGAACTTGTCCTCTTCTGCCCTGCCTGTCCCCAGCCAGGGATCAATGTACCAGATCAGGATATCAATCTCTCTGAGTCTGTATTCTATTCATTATTGCAAAGGAATTGTTAGCCTGACTTGTGTAGCTGGCAGTTTGCTAGGACCTTTGTGATGGATGGCAACTTCAAGGCCAAGCATATGCTGCCCAAGAATGCTGCTGAAGAGGTCTGGCTCATGGATGGAAATGGCTTCATGGTCACATCAGCTCCATACAAGGAATATTTGACCAGGACCATAAATTGAATAGAAGTTGGTGTGCCATGATCTCTCCAAAGGCACCAGACTGATTGTGTCATGCAGAAATCCAACTGCAATAACCACTGGGCTGTTAATCAAGCAAATGCACAAAGGAATAGGTTGGAATCAACCAGGATTGGTGGATGTGCCTGTGCAAGGCATGGCTGTTTTGTACCTCATGCAATGGTTGACTTTCAGAAGGGAGAGCAGTATGCACCAATTCATAGTCCCCAGTCATGACTAACAATATAGCAGGCAGGTCAATATGGATTATGCTCTGGTCCATGCTGTGCACCATGGATTGGACCCCTGGCAACCAGTCATAACCTTTTATGACATCAATTGGCAGTATAGCAAGAACTTGGCCTGCCAGCTTGAGGAAAATAGATATCTCTCTCTGCCTTCCAGATTACAGATTCAGACCAGCATTGGACTATGGCATGTCCATGGCCATCAGACAGAGTGCTTTGCCAGATATGCTCCAAACTTTATTCCAGGTGCTCGCCAGGTGGATGGTGAAATCATGGAGACCCTCTGGTCTTCTCTCAACATCATCTCACCATCAGCCTGGGGAATGGCAACAGCACATCATCAGGAGTTGCTGGACTTCCAAATGAATGATAGTAACTTCCTCAAAATGATATGGATGCATATGTCATCACAGTACCTGGTTGACCATCACTTGATTACTTGCACATAGCATCAGCATTGAAATGGAAGTTCAAGGTTGCCAAGCAGTCATTAGCAACAATCCAAGATAAATTCAACAAGTTGGATAGCAAGGTACCAGATGGCTTGTGTCAGTTATGGGTGGAACAAGAACTTGTGGCACAGTCATGCCAGTGGAATACTCCACAGGCCATGGACATATATGAAGTCTGGCTGGAGAAGGGTAAGGGGGCCAACTGTATCATCTGTCCCATAACTTACATACATCATGGTAGCACCCACCATGAAAGCCATTGAGATTGACCTAATCCATAATGACCATTCATTCAGCAGCTCACATGTGGTTCAGCTACTTGGATTGCACAGGCATTAAAGGTTGAGCAGGCTCAAATAGTGCTTGCTATGGATACATGACAGATGGACACCAGGGCAACAGAGGCAGACTGGTTGTCAATTTTGCTGGCAAGACCAGTTGCAATCACAGATTGATGCACTAGTACATGGAGCAGCCCAGTTCATTCAGAAATGACTGGCAAGTTAACCCCAGGCAAAGGCCCAGAAGTATAGCCCCATTTGATGGGGACAGTAATGACAAAACTGATGATCCATTCCTCCCTGATCATCCTGGTCACCAGGAGGTCAGCAATGTTCCACTGCCATCATATATTGGAGTACAGTATTTCCATGACATTGGCCTTGGCAGTCTTGTGGAACAGGAAATACATCTGAGACAGGGCCAGGCAAATGATGCATTGCATGAATTGCATCTGGCCCTCATGGACAAGGCCATGATATTTCATACAGATGTCCTAGAAAGGAGGGAACTATAAAATGACAACCCAGGCATGGGGCCAGATATCCAATGCAGAGGCAATGGTTCAGTGGCATGCCACCATCTATCACCAGTGCTGAAAGCAACTTATTGCACTGGGGGCTGGGGAGGACATTCTTGGCAAATACCAAGAATTGAATAGGGCAGACCTGACTGTGAGTGCCTGCAATTGCAGACCCAAATGCAAGAGGTCATCATGATGACACTCTGGCCTGGTTTTGGACTGTGGACCTTCCCTGGGATTCTGCCATGAATGACAGGATGTTGGAATGTAGGCAGATCAATTGGGCTTGTGTGAAATACTGACTGAATTATCACAGTTTATCGAGTCAACTGGCTGCATACAAAAGCACTATGGGATCACTGGGAAGAAGAGCTAGAGTTACTCACACTGGAGACTGGGTGGACACAGAAATTCTTCTTACACAAGGAGAAATTCTGGAGTGGCCAGCATATGGAGGCATTGGCAGTGGGCAATACCAGCTTTGCATGTTATATGGCTAGGCAGTCCCAGATGTATTGGGATTTAGCTGGAACACTAGGATGTACTTCAAGATATGAATTGGAAGAGTAATGTGCATATATCTCTAGCCAGTATGAAACCAGGGGAAATTACATATCAAGATTCTAATGAGATGTGTAATGAGGACAGCACCCTACTTATTGCTGGCTCCTGGCTGGGTAACTGAATTGACTCAGAAGTCCTCAAGCTTGTCCTGTACTTGTGCAAGCCTGTCAAAAAGGGTGAGCCATTCACTGCAGAATTCCATCACACCATGGAGCATGCAAATCTCCTCCTGATAGATCATCTCATCACAGCTTTCAATCAACTGGCTGATGCTGTCTGATGGCATCCAGTCCATGTCACACAGCAGTGGGAGACTCTCTTTTCCTTCCTATGGCATGGATGGATTCAATGGAATGATTGAAAAAAGACTACCATGCACCTCAACCCCAACAAAGAATTCCTTGGCCTCCTGCAAAACTTCCTCCAATGACTGATGATCATACCCATCCAGATGGGTAGGGTCCCTTGTCCACCAGGTATGTGGCATAGGACTGGTGTGGATCATATGTCTCACCTCTCCTCTTTTGACCTGCAGCACTTCAACTCCATGATGTGTGCCATCAGGGCAGTCTCTCCCATATTTTGTACAGCCATCCACCAAAGCAGTTCATTGGCAACACATGGGACCTTCATGATTGTCCCATATGAGTTGCAGGTAGCCAGGGCCTGCTTCAATATATGCTGTGGAAATGTCCATGACACAGTGAACCAGCATCCATTTTGACAAACTCACTGTTTCCACCTGAACCTGCTGATACCAGTCATCTGGCAGTCAATCACTTGGGTTGTTGGCCTGCTGCAAAGCATATGTGAACTGTCTAAATCAGACACTGATGTATTGGATTATCATGGAGAGGTAGGATAGATTAGCAGTCCTGACATCCATGGTGATTCAGAGTAGAGTTGGATTGGGTGCAAATGTTATTACATAGTGTGGCTGACACATGTGATGACCACAAGATAAGAGATCATCAATAATCACATCCCAGGAGGCCAGAATAGCAAGTGGCCTATCCTGACACAGCAGTTGTCATGAGCCAAGTGGCTGGATATCAATCTGAACAAGACCAATGATGAGACCATAGTGTATCTATGCATTACTGGCACTGCTGGACCAGTACTGGGAAAGGCAGCATTGCATTTTCTCAATGGCTGTGGAATAGGCAATTAGTTGGAAAGGCCCCAGGCTATTGTCCAATGCTTGTGGACAGTGTATAATGAAAGGTCCACATGCTGAAATATGACTGGCATGGTAGGAAGTGTAGCTAGTGCCAGATCTGTAGCAGAACATTGTATCCATGCATTACCAGCACTGCTGGACCTGTACTAGAAAAGGCTGTATTGTATTTTCTCAATGGCTGTGGAGTACAAAATTAGGTTGAAAGGCCCTGGTCCATCATCTAATGCTTTGGCATGGTGTATAAAGGAACATGAACACCATGAAATGGAACTGGTGTGGTAGGAAGTGTAGCTAGCACCAGAGCCATAGCAGAACTCACCATCTATCACCTCTATCTTGGTACCTGTACCACACTGGAATAATATGTGGAAGCCAGAGGTACTATGCCACCATAGTGGCACCTGTTTTTGAAGGCCAGAATGGTCATTTACCAATGCCATGTAACCATGGCAGCTTCACTACAGTCTGGAAAACACTGGCATACATAGCCATGGTTCCATACTACACACTACAGCTACCAGATAACCCATCATTAACACCATGCTCACTATATCATCTTCCATTCTTAATGGCAATAAATCACAGTGCCACCCAGGATATTACACACCATATGCACCAGGAATTCTCCAGTCAAACCTTCCCAGGACTGAATGCCCCCAAACCAGATCCTCCACTCCACATTCCAACACACAGCATTGTCACTATGAATCAGATAGTGGCCAGCATGCATGCAGCATACAATAATAGAAGTAAGCTGATGTCCTGGCTGTATGTAAAATCAAATGTAAATTGTATTGCAGAGCAAAGTGGCATCAATCTGATCTGGCTTTCTGAGCACCTTTCAGCTATGGAATTGGGGGTTGATGAAACCCAGGAGGCAGGCCACCTGGCAGCACATCCATCAAC